ATCCAGCGTAGAGGCTGCAGACAGATACACGGTCAGACACGCACAGGCTCTCGGGCCACGTGGACACATGATGGTGTTCTCCCCCGGGTCACAGAGAGGCTTCGGCTTATGCTTACACTGAGCAGAAGGAAGCTATGTCTTTTAAAACTTTTGTAAATACAGAACGCACTAAATGCCCTTCCTGTCCTGTAGTAGGTTTTCAGTTGCTGGATAGTTAACTGCTGGTGTAGTAATTGTTTTAACTCGTATTGATTAGTTCCCAGGCAAATGCATACACTGTCTGTCAATCTGAGCAGCCTATCCCTGGATTTACACAATGGTTTGTCATTTTTAGTTCCTTTAAATGCATCTACATGTTGGATTAAGATTGATGCTCCATGCATTCCTCTATTTAAATAAGATAACAGAGTTTAACTTACAAACTCTGGAATGCTGTAGCACGCCAGCAGCATTATGAAGCCCTACGGGAAGATGGCATATGGTGTGGGGGATCACAGAGCAGGTGATTTCTGTTTCATCCCTCAGGAGACTCTGTGACTACATTAAAAAGGAAATAACTCGATTTAGAACCCTGCTTCAGACATCCAGAGCAGCTGGTGGATATGAGACGTCACTAGGAATGTTTTGGCTCCGTGCCATCAGAGAGGCACACTGCAGTGTTCGGTGCATAGAAATGTAACAGACTTCACTGGACCCTGGTTTCTATAGATCTCTAGTCATATTTGAGCTTTTGGGGTCTTTGCAATTACAGATATCCCAATAAGGGTTGACACGATACCAGATTCTTAAACTTCAATCCAATTCTAGTAAATATGATATTATCGATACATTTCAAGACAACATAAATAGTTGCCTAGGCAGGGTAATTTCTTTGTTTTAATTACCAAAAATTACAGGCAAATTTCTGCTCACCGTGTAAACTTCACAAAATCATGGACAACATAGTTGTGCAATTTAGAAGGTACCCTTATTCTTTCACTGGCAGCAGTTTTTTTTTTAAGCTTTGGTTTTCTGTCATTCATCATTTAAATAAAGAAGATCTTTAAAAGTATCAAAATATTGCAAGTTTTGAAAACCTTAGTCCTATAGAGTTCAAATTCAAATCTTTTTCACAAAATCATTTTATAAAAGAGATTGAAGCCTGGAACCAAGACCACCAGTTACCCCAATACTCATCACAAAAGTATATTTGATTTGGCGGTACAGGTACGAGACTGTGTAGGCTACAAAATGTTCAATCCAACGTGAATATCGTTTCTTCTTAAATGTAACTTTTAAATTTTAACTTTGCTAGCTAACTGACTAGCTAGCTATTTGCATTCAGCGCAGAGGTGTTCGTAACATTGACATGGTAACAGCAAGCCCCACCAATCAGAGACGTCGTTGTGACAATCTATTATCGTGGGAAGGGTAGTTCTTTAAATCGATAATGTGACTAAACCGTGTTTTTCGTAAAATGAGGTTAATATCATGAAACCCATGTCTCTTAAAGGATCATATTCCGTTGTTTCACACATAGGTAGCTCATGATAAGTCTACCTTGGATGGTTATGACATTATGGCTAATAAACAAATCTGCTAAGGAGAAATTATATGGGATTTTTACTTCCAGAACCCCACTGTTGAGCCCTATTGGCTACTGTTTTATTCTTCCGAATGCCAGTTCTGATTCCTACATCACATATTGTGATTAAATAACTACACACATTTACATTTTTATTAAATAAAAGCTATAGGCAATACTTCATAACCTGTGTAATATGACGGCTATTTTATGGCCTGGCTCACACTACAAGAATTCTGTCCTAAAAAAAACAAGAGCTAATGAGCTAATGTTAGCACTAGCTTAGCTGACAGCCATTTTTGTTATCTGGGGTTTGTTCAAATTGTCCCTCCTATCTCCTTTCACTATCCACTTTACCTTAACCCCGGGGAAAACGTCATGAGGTTAAGGGAAGGTGTTAGGAGAATTCATAAAGGACTTAGGGAAAGGCGATCTCGTTGCTCTAACAATCCGACCGCATTTTCCACTAGGCGACGTCATTCAATGCGACGGGCCGGGCGGAGGTTAATGAAGTGGGTCCACCGTGTTGAAACTACAATGTTCCGAAAATGGACTACAAAAAAAACGCATCTAAAAAACTTTCCCCTGTGCCTTCTTAACGGTGAAATAATCCTAACCACCACAAGGTTGGGATTGAAATAAAAGCAATATAGATTACCAGGCTACGAGTAAGAAAAGTGAAACCATCACTTTCCTGTCCACTCAGAAATCAACATCAAAATAAGTATGAAATTAATTGTTACATTTATGCAAGACAAGAATGTACAACTGAAGAAAAGCACAAAACATTCTGAATTAAATGAAATATGTTGGATAAAACATCATCTGGCTCAAAATGTCTCTGATCCCTTTTTACCTGAAAGACAGGGTGATGTTTTTTATGGTGATTATAATCTGATTATATGGCTTTGCATAATATCTCAAGAACCTTAATCAAGGTAAGGGTTTCAGCATCTGTGACTGAAGGAAAGTTTAACATTATTTATGATATTGCTTACGGCTGCCAAAACGCTCAAAGTGGATAAATAACGAATGCAAACTGAGCATAGGCTGCAATAAAAGTTAAACTCGCTTTGATCGTTTCACGACATCAGCATAACGTTCATAGTTCGCCTACTGGTTAAAGATTGTTGAAAGTTGTTCAAGGCATATTATTGCAATGGTGACTTACATGATCTCCGTCCCTTTTCTGTCATCGTTAATGTTTGTGAACGGTCGGATGCGTGACTCTTTTATATGTTGCAGCCGCAAGGAATTGTGGGGCGTCAAATCTCATCTCCTTTCGTAAAGGATGGTCCAGTGTATCCTATGCTAAAGGACGTTATAAAGGAAGCGTTGACCCACCTTTCTTTAACTTTTAGAGATTTCGAACGGCTCTTATCATGGCCGCCACTTAAATGCTTCCGGGGTTAAGTTAAAGTGGATAGTGAAAGGAGATAGGAGGGACAATTCGAACGCACCCCTAGTGTCCGCTAAAGAGCATGAAGAAGCATATCTTTAATAACTGCTTTTAGGTTTTATCATTTAGTTTATTTCTGAATTAAAAGATAGCAGACCAAATATAAGCAGTAGTAAAAATCTGACAGCTGACATTTAGCTAGCTTCGGCTAACATTGTGCTTTCATTTAGCAATTGCTAATCTGAAACCAGTACTTCTCCTCAGCTCTAGAATACTAGTGTCAGCGACAGCCCGTGTTTTGTTTTTTGATGCTATATGGGCCTCTGTTTTGGATTTTAAAACAAAGGAAATTGTAATAGTGACATTGACTAGCGCACTACTTGATGGCACACTTTAGTCTGTTTGCATTTCTTGTACTGGTTGAAGTATCAAAGCAGCATTTACAAAGGGAGAACTCTTCCTTTTTAAATGTAACCTTTATAATCATTCTCCCTTCTCTGTCTTGGCTCACCTTTTTTGAACGATTTCTTTTCTCTGAGTGTTAGCATGAGTGTTTTGGGAGCTCGAGTCTTGCCTCCGACTTAGAACCGAGAGACTCCTTTATGGGCCAGTAACATTGCACCCTGCGGGGGAACAGAAGCCAGGAAAATAGTAAAGTGGAGGTCTACGCAGGAGATCTATTTTTCCAGCCATGTCATGCTGCTGATAACTTGGTGATAAAAGTTGATGCAACAGCTGACAGAGACTTCTGAGTCGTCCTTGTTTACAAACACTTCACTGCCCTCTGATCCATTTGTTTAATCCCAAAACATGAACTTACCACATGCTGCATCTGCACTTATTTGTGTGATAGTATTTAAATGCAGTTTTTTGAGTTTTGAGACAAAGAGATGGAAGCTTATTTCAGGGCTTCTTTGAATTCCCTCTGAACGTCAGGGCTTTATTTATTGAAGAAATATATCCAAAACATCAAAGCGCATTATTAAAAAAAAAAAACTTTTGTGTTATTTTATTCTGTACCAGCAGTGTTTGTCTGTTTGTCTGTGGTTATGCAAAATCAGACTAAAAGAGCATTGAACAATAGACGACTTCATGGTCTCATCGGTCTGTCACAACAGCAGACACTGGGTTTTTAGCACAGTAAAGCCCTGTATCAAGGCCCTGAATGTAGCCCAGGCCCCTCTTTTATCTCTGGGCCTATAGCACTGGGATTACTGTCCCAAAGGAGAGGGGAGGCAACACTCGGCCGAAAAACTGCCACCCCCAGCAAGGTCTTTGTCATGTTGCACTCCAACCCAGATCCTTTTATGGGCCCTGAATATTATACTGCTGCAACAAGCACGCAGGCTGAAAAGCTCCAAAAACTATGAAGGAGTTAACTCTTTTTGGAGCTCTTTCTTTGATTTATAAGCAGCCCTTTTAAACAGGAGCAGATTCCAGATGAGCAGACATTCAGAGGTCAAGGGCAAAGTTCTCCAGTTATGTAATTGCCTGAGGGACATTCTCTCGCGCAACAGGAGAAGAAGCCTGACTAGCCAATCAGAAGGCCCCGCTCCCCCTGGAGTCAGACCACTGCTGTACAAACATGTCCTCCCCGGAGTTTGTTTGCACTGGCTAAGTTTAGGACTGTTTATTTTCTGATCAGAGAATGCCTCTTGAAATCCGGAGACCTGACAAATAATGGACAACAATTCTAAAATATTAGCCTGATAGGTGTAATAGAGTGGCTGTTTTTTTTTTTGTTATGTTATTTATTCCTCACATACTGAATGCTTGTTTTTACAACATTTTAAATCGTGAAATGTTTACATTCATAATTGCATATAAGATGTCTGACCTAGCTTTGCTTTTTTTTTTGCTCATGCATCATACTTTATATGCACACACAAACAGAGAAACAGACACACACACAACACAGAGACCTTACTCAATGAGACATTGCTCCACAGCTCCCCTAGTGATCAAAATCTTCACAGGATACCTTGTGGCCTACACTATGTTTGATGTGTACCTTTGTTTCTCTGTATTTCTGTGCAGGGGGCGACACCTGCAGCCAAAAATGGAGGTGAAAACGTCACTTCTAGACAACATGATTGGGGTTGGGGACATGGTCCTCCTAGAACCCCTATCCGAAGACTCATTCATCGAGAACCTGAGGAACCGCTTTGACCACAACGAGATCTACGTAAGTCAACCATTTTATTTTTAAAAGATAATTACTATAACTGAACCTACAATTCACTTAGCAGACGCTTTTATCCAAAGCGATGTATATGAAAGAGTGAGTACAACACTAATCCATTCATACACCGCCACCGAAAGCAGCGGGAGCAATGCAGGGTTAAGTGTCTTGCCCAAGGACACACCGGACATGTTCTTCAGCTGGGGATCGAACCTTCCGTTTGAGAACGACTCTACCAACTGAGCCGCAGCCGCCCCCTGATATTATTTTAAACACTCATCTACTTGCTCTGCGTCCAAAGACTTACAAAGATGTGTGCCCTTAAGAAAACATGCAGATACTTTTCATTTCTCCATTGTTCCTTCAGTCTTGGCTACACAACTGGCTCAGATTCAGCAACCACAGTAACCAGCCAATCAATAAATCACATCACCAAGGAATGTAGATGATGCCTTTTAATGAAGCATGAAATCCAGCGATCAGGGACAAGGAGGGACTGGCAGCCAGGCTGGCTTGCCGTCTATCTCTGGAAGAAGGCAGTTTTTTGGACTATCATCCGCGCATCAGGCAATCGGTTCTGGGCTTTGTGCTCGGTCAGTCTACGCTTCGCCTTCTCTGCAGGTCGGCTGCTCTGCACGTCAACCAGAATGATTACAGCTCCGCTCTGGTTGCTGTTGGCTCACAGGGCTCAGGGCCCAAGGGATGATGTCACCTCATGCAGCCATGATTGCCTCAAGAGGAGCAGATATTTTGTCGAGATGCAGCCCACATCCTGCTGAGGAATGGGAACAGTGTTTGCACATGTCTGATTCCCTCAATTTTGCTGTCCTTTCCTCTAAGCTCAGAGCTTTTCTTTTCTTTCCTGTGTGGTGCTGACCTAAAGGTTCTAAAACTGGCGAAATTTGCCCGGTTTTGCCTTTTTTTTTAAATTGTTTATATGCACACCTTTCAAGAGTTGTTTCCATTGTGCTGGTGCAAAAATCTTAACATTGATGTTACCTTTAAGTCAAGTTCACACTGTGAATAAAATGAAAAGAAAAGGCATCTTTATGGAAAGGTCAATCAAACAGCTGGGAGTTTATAATGGAAGTTTTTTTGGTTGCGCATGTACAGTATTTATGTAAGCCGCACCTCAAGAGTGATGACCAGGAAAAACACTGAGGCCCATACTTATCCAATAAATCTGTGGCCTAAAATCCTTATCCTTGCATGCGAATGGATTTTTCCCTCATGTGGCATCATTCCTTACAAATGGCCCTAGCCCCCCCTCCCCCAAACTATCGTATGACAGCTCAGAGCAGAAGAAACATGGCTTTGTTTCCAGAAGGGCAGCGCATCATGTATCCAATAACTGTGTGGAAAATCAAAGAGAACGAGTATCTCTCTCGTTTAACTGCTCGCCCTTCTACCTTCAGGGCAAAACCGAAGCAACTTAACCATCCCTCCATATTAAATCAATTATTTTAAAAAGGGATTATTCTCCAATTTCCAACCTTATCTTTAAGTTTCCGATTCAAATATTGTAATGGAAAAATGCCCGCAGTTGATGCAGATGTTCTCTGGGATGCTGTAGCCCATCTGCGAGATCTGTTGTTCGTCCGACATAAGTGCAGTGCAGTCAATGGACATATTTGGTGAGGGACTGTCAGACTTTTGAAAGCTTTGATTTTTGGGCCAAGTCATTGCTTGTATTACGAACTTGCATTGCATCGGCAAAAATGGTATCCTAACATCTGAGTGTTACGGACGAGGAAGTGAAGTTCCGTCTTGGTGATTTAGTTAATGCCAGAGCTAAAGTGAATAAACTCAGCTGGGCTAATATCCACACTTTTTAGTGTTACTTGTGCCGCTCGTCTTCTCACACACTTCCGCATCCGTGACTACATCACCCCCCGTCCTTCATAACCTCCACTGGCTCACCATCCCCAAGTGTACCCCCTTCAAACTCCTTATTATCACCTACAAAGCCCTCCATAACCCGGCTCCCCCCTACCTGTCTGAGCTCCTCCATCGGCACACTCTCCACCCGCTCTCTCAGGTCAGCTGACGCAAACCTCCTGCTGATATGCAAGTTTTTAGAAACAGCTTCCATGTCAGGGGGAAATATCAAAATGTACTTTCAACAGTCAATCCCACCTATTTTCATATACTGTAATCGCCATGCCAACAGCAAAGGCCTTGTCACACCATACCCACATTTTCATGTTATAATCACCTGAGAGTTTTTGGACCAACAAAAGTTAGCTCCATGCTTCCCAAATTGAAGGAAATGAGGCGAGACAAAACAAATCCCCTAAAATTAACTTTTTGAAAGAGTCGAGTGAGAAAGACAAAAGTCGTTTCTTTTGATTGGCTCGTAGCCGTGTGATTTATCCCTCTGAGCACCTGTAATTTTTATTGACCAAACAGATGGAGTTTTATATCCAGCAGGACAACACTGTAGCGATGCAAAAGAGAAGATGCAGTAGAGCTTTTGCCATTACCTTAGCACCATGTACAGTGTCTTCACCTATTATCGATCCTTGCTAATAGACATGCTACACCTTTTTGAGTTTTCATTAAAATCCTGTCCGACCGTCCTCGCGATGGAGAAGGTCAAATGATTGGAAATGAAACCCCTCAGAAAAAAAAGAAAGAGATCTTCATAGCACAGTGAGGCAGGCAGCTGAATGGAAAGGGGAATAGAGCTGCATACAGAAGGAGAACACAGTTATCATTTTGAAGTTGCAGTATTTACCGGAAAAAACTGGCTTCTCCATTTCAAAGGGGGTTTATTAAGCATGCGATAATGTTGATTAAGCATGCGATAATGTTGATTAAGCATGCGATAATGTTGATAGGTTTATAAGCAATACCTTTTTTTTTAATTTAATGTGAGAATTCTTATCCATTTCACAGCTCAAGTAAAGAGACTTCTGGTTTTGTCACTGATTTTCTAATGCAGTCTTTAAAAAGATTCATGGACTATTCCCTTGAAGAGTGTTTCGCTGTTTCGAATGTGTTTTCATTCCGCCTTTGGTCAAGAGAGCCTCTCATTTACACGTGATAGCTGTTTACATTGCACACACTCTTTCCCTTTGTACCCCGTCCTCTGCACTTGAAAAGGCCTCATTTCGCCCGTGGTGGGCTATTGAACGAGAGAGGCTGTGGGAGGTTGTGGTGTTGCCACAGGGAAGGCCATGCTCCACTCTTGTCAGAGTGGGTTATGCAACAGCCATTACCACGGAAAGCAGAGAAAATGTTTCAGGGTTGATGTTTTGAAAGTGCTATCTGGAGCTTTGTTTGGAGCGTGGGAGGATGAAGATGAAGATGATGGCTGGTTACATTCGCTATCAGAAATATCTGACAAGTGTTCTCTGTTGAGCAGGACCTGTGATGTGTTACATAAAGGTGTTCTTTTATGTGGACATTTCAGACACTGCAATTTTATGTTTGATATCATCTCCAATGTATATTATATAAATTATCCAATGCTACAATTCTTTTTTTTTAATGAGTAAATGTAGTAATCTAATGTAAATATTAATTCTTTTGGAAGGAAAATGATTATTTTCCAGGTTTAGGTGTTGTGTGACACTCACTAATACCTGTCCTCAGTATGCAGATTACTGCCCTGCTAACAGGTTCTATAAACTTTCTCTTGGTTTTCACTTGAGGCCCTGCATGCCTCGACAGTGCATTATGAATACTGAGCAGAGAAAAGCTGACACAGGCAGAATTCCTTCCACAGCGACATAACAATTAACACCCAAACAGACACAGGGGATGAAAATGTTTTTAAAAACCCGCGTTCTTGTCACCTGTGTGTAAAACTGAGAAACACCCTTTTTTGACTCACACTTTTGACATTTGTGTCATATTTTCTTCTTCTCCACTCCAGACGTACATCGGCAGTGTGGTGATCTCCATGAACCCCTACAGGTCCCTGCCCATCTTCACGCCAGAGAAAGTGGAGGAGTATCGCAACAGGAACTTCTATGAGCTCAGTCCACACATGTGAGTCCACCTCCCAGGTCTCCTCAAACCACCAAATGTTTATGTAAATTGTCTCAACAGCAAAAAAAAAAAGTAACAAAGAACAGATGGGGCATGTCCCCAGAGGCTTCTTTGAGGATGTGATTGCAGAGACACAACACCTCTCCAATATCAGAGTGAGAAAAAATACACGAAGATGCACACAAAATGTTTGCATTACACTTTTTGTGTTTTTAGCAACATCACATCTTCAAATGGGAATGGGAACAGACTGCCTTTTCAAGCAGCGATATTAACGCCCTGTGACGTTCCGCCTTCAATCTGTCATGTAGGCCTAACGGGGGGGGGGACAAAGTGATCCCCCTCTGTACCGTCTTTGGAGGTAGAAACAGAAGCGTTCCAGATGCGAGACGGTTTCAGCTGAACCAGTGGGGAAGTGCAGCTGTGTGTGTGTGTGTGTGCATGTCTGACTGTGTGTGTATGTGGAGCTCCCGCTGTGCTGTGCTTCAGCGACGCCGATACGCAATTTGCATTCACAGACTGGGACAAGAACATTACGGCGTCGCTCAAAACAAATGTACAAAGATGTGATGACGGCTGAGTTTACTTAAGGCACTTTTGCGAAAAAAGCAGTTTGAAAAGGGCTTCTGCTGAACTTAAGTTTTATATGCTTTGCTTTCGCCACATTAGTATTTTTTAGTATTTATTTATTTGCAGAGTAAGGGAAAAAAAAAACATTAATCAAATAACAAAATAGACAACATTCAGTGCAGGAAGAGGCAGAAAATGAGCTTATTTTACCTTTTGGGCATTTTAGAAACCTGATTTTAAGCCTCCCAAGCTCTGTTTGTAACTGTTTTACATAAGTCTGTATATTTATTGCAGTTATCTACTCGCTTAATAATCTTAGTACATGTTAGACTTTTGTAGACTGATTTTCTAAATTTTTCTGTAATGACTCGATGTCATTGTAAATGAGGGTTGCCCCTCAATGATCTTTCGGGTATAAATAAAGGTTAAAAATTGAAGCCTCCACCTAAATAATGCTAAAATATCACCAAATTTAAAAAAAACAACTTAACAAAACATAATTAAGATGCAGAAAAGAATATGTACACAGACATGTAGAAAAAATGCATTAACTGCATAAAGTAACAATTAGACAAAAACAGAAGCACATTATTGTTCATCATCAAGTCATCGTTAACCTGAAAGCAGTTTTTCCCTGCTTCTTTAAATCAATGCTGGAAGGAGTCGTTCTTTAAATCATTGCTGTGAAAGCTGCTGCTTTGGACGAGAAGGAAACACAACCATTCTTAGGGGGGGCCTATTAAATCACGATATGTTATCGGTGCGTTGACTGACACATATTGGCAAAATACCTGACACCGTATAACAGGCAGTATAAGCTTCTGATTCCGTTGTTGGAATCTGAACAACTCTTTTAACTTTTGAAACAGTAAGTGTCCTCTGTCTGTTGAGGATGCAGTGTATTCCAAACTTCCGTAAGGATTTTCCCTCTGGACCCAGTCCCTAATGAGGAAGGGCACACAGTCTGAGATCAGACAGACACTAGCTCTTGTGTGGCGGGTCAGTCTGGCGCTTCTGCTGGCCATTCAAGCACTGTGGCATGCCATCTGTCCGCTGGCAACATTAAGTCAACATTTCTGTTTGGCTGCCAGGATAAAACAAAGCCCAGCACTCGTCAATTAGCCTGCTGTGTCTCTAGGCTGCAGCGAAAGCCCTCAGAGAGACGACTGAAAGAGCGAGAGTGCCCTCGTCCCTGAGCAGACACGCTCCCTGCAGACAAAAGCCGGCTCCTTGGCTTTACTTTACAGCCAGCTGCACAGAACTGACATGACACGGTTTCAGGCTGTTTTTTTTCCCTCCCTTATTCTCCTTTTCTTGTCTCTCCCGTGTCCCTGTGTTTACTAATGCGGGCTACTGGTGTGTACAAAGGGCTTTTCTCATGGTCAGCACAGTGCATTGTTTTCAAGATTAAGGTGTCCTTATTTACCTGTTGAAACATGATAGCTTAATCACTCACAACAAACCCCCCTCTCACGGTAAAAATCTGTCCTTGCTGTGAGCTGTTGTTTGCTTAAAGCTGGGACAGAACACCAGCTGGTTGATTATTACCTTAAAAATGAAGGCTGGAATAGGAGAAAGAATGCTTACAGTCAAATTATTTCATATCAGTTATTTTATTAAAACTCACAAGAGTGGATGCCAAGATTTATACTTGTTCCCCAACCAACTTTTGTCATCAATTCTCCTTTAAGAATTACAGTGATGACGATATTGTAATGCAAACTAACTGTGACTTTGAACATAGCGTTTTTATAGGCCAATCACTAACATGCATGTTCCAGGAGAATTCATGTTAAATATCAGGGCATTTAAAAGCACATCGCTGTTTTGCAGTGGACAAGAATTTTCAGAGACGGCCTCTGCTTCCTGTAGCTGTGATACCACACGGAAATTTAGATAGTTACCGAAGGCTAAATGGCCCACCATTCGTCAAGTGTTTCGCAAGATAATTTTCATACCAGCCAGAAAGGAAACCAGCCATTGCAAAATAAGCAGCGATGCAAATTATGATAGATTTGTTAGGACTAGTCATGCAAAAACACTATGGTCCTTAAAGCTGCTTAAATCTGCTAACTTAAAGCTCTTTGCTGATGAATGACAGATGTGGCCTAATGCATTTGAGCCACGTTTTAAATAAAGGTTTATTTAGATAAGACTCTACAAGGCTTCTTCTCTGTGTGTCTGAGCTGTCGAGCTAATGTGGCTTAAACTTCCAAAAAAAAAAAAAAAAAAAAAGACACATAAAGGAAAAATATCCTCAGTGAAGCATGCTACTTCCTCCTCTCATCATCTCAAGTGATCGATGATGTGATTACATGTAGCAAAACTGAAGTTCTTTCTATTGACTGAAATGCACCTCCACTACACACGAGAGAAATCATCTTACTTAAAGTAATGACGATTAAGCCCCGTTTAATAGGACAGACTTGCAAAAGACTAAACTGCCAGTCAAAGGCAGATTGTTTCAACATGCAACATAAATTGATCTTAATCCCCGGGTCAGGCCATCTGGACCAAGCTTTGAGGCTTTGCATTGATCGTCCTCAAGCACTGACAAACCTGCATCATCAGTGCACTTATTCTGAACTGTATGTTTAACACAGTAAAACAGTCCACAATATCTTACTCATGCTGACTCTCCTATACTTAATCTTGGTCTCCGTCACATCCTTGTGTCGTAATTTATTTCCAAGATTTTTTTGGGGGGGGGGGGGCAATTGTGACCCTTTCTACCGGATAGGCCAGCTGAAGAGGGACCAGAAATGCTGGAAGGAGAGAGTGGGAAATACCAGCAAAAGACCCCAGGTTGGATTCAAACTCATGGCCACCGGCATGACGATGTCAGCCTCTGCGCAATGTAACCGCTAGGCTATCTGACGCCCCGTGTCATCTTCTTTTTCAATGAATAATTATAACAACCCTTGCATAAAAAGTCTTGAGCGAAAACAAATATGTTAGCACAGTAATCAGCTGGTCTGTCCATTGGTGAACATTTCTAACTTCTATCTTTTTAACCAAACGTTAAAGAGTCAGCCTGGTAAACATCACATTGATAGCTTTATTAATGTTATGTGGACAAGAACTGCATGGCTGCCTTGAAATGCAATATCTTGTTCATTTCTACACAAGTAGAATACAGGTACTATACTGCACATTGCATTAAGTCATTATTTGACATGTACAGTAAAGGCAAGCAAAGCTAATTTTGTCAGCGTCTTACAACAGTTGATGATAAGCTAATGCTAGCAAAGACATGTTGACAAGCTCCGTCTGCATTCGGCACTCTGAGAAGAAGTTGCTTTTGATAAGCAAGCACCTCCTGGTCAGAAATAAATAAGCAAGTTCCCAAAAATGTCAGAGTATATATTCCTTTTGTTGTGTAGCCTACCTTTCATCTGAAATAATAAAAAAGAATAGAATAGAATAGCAAGGCAAGAAGAACCTGAGGCTTGTGCCATTTTTAATGTCCATCTCTTGAATTGAAGCACAGTGACAGAAGTTGGCTTTTCCTTATACTTTTTAAAATGTATAAACAAATATGCTTCTGCATAGTTGGGATTTGAAAACATTTGTATTTTGCAATTTGAATACATTTGACTCGACTGGTATTCAAATCAGAGCAGCGAGTATGCATCACTACAGGAGATTTATGTAGCCTTGTCATACCTTTAAACACAAAGCAGTTTCCTTGAGCTATTAGAGCTCTCACTTATCATCCCGTTCATTTGGGGAAAGCCTGAAGCATAAGGGCAGAGAAAAGGAGAGCTCGTACATAAACCAGGCTGTGCAGCAGAGTTCTGTAAATCAGTGTATACAACTGTGCCTGAAGTCTGCTCCTTTTCTTGGCTTCACCTGTAACTCTCTGTTCATAGCCGACAGCTTTTCAACGACATGCTGTTTAACTTGTTGTACTTTGATCTCTCAGTGGCCAAAACAGGTTTCTATTTAAACCTTTTGGAGCAAGGAAGAAAACGAAAATAAACTCTCAAAAGGGAGTAGTAAAACAAACATGAAGTCCACATTGTGTATTTCTTTTAATGTGGCAAGGATTTAATTTTATCAAAATGTTTTGTGTTAGTCTTTTTGTCCCAATATGTCCCAGAGCAAACACATCTGAGCACTGAAGGAAATAAAACCCATTTTATAAGACAAAGATGAATTTAGTTTTCAGTGAGGAAGCCTGGATTATTCATGTTGTTTCCACACAAGGAAAGGCGTAAGCCTTTGCGTGGCCATGTTGTTTGCCGGGCTGAACTTGAACTTGCTGACGGGCAACAACAGCGCCTGAAGGGGATCAGTGTTTGGCTTTAATTAAGGTAACACCAGGGGGTCCTGGGAATCTTCCTCTTCCTGTCTTTGATCCTCATTAGACACTTGGACAGTATAAAACCAGCAGCTCAGAACAGCATACATCAGTCAAAGTTATTCCC